AAAAAAAAAAAAAAACAAAAAAAAAAAAAACAAAAAACAAAAAAAAAAAAACAACAACAACAAAAAATCCTGAACATTTGCATGGAAACTGGGTATCTCAGCTGCCTATTTCATGATTGGATTTAATAATACATTTTGGCAGTTTTTTGTAGATATACATTATATATCTTATTGTCTGTATCAAGTCTCCATAGTGGAGACATACATTATATATCTTATCCTCTGTATAAAGCGCCGGTCATACAATGTATGTTAACATATTCTACTTTTAATTACCCTGTGGTAACTGGTTACCCTAAAAATAATAGCTGATCCTATCCCTCTCATTTTTATGCCATTGCAGAAACTAGAAGAAAGATTCAGATTCAACAGACGAGATCTCATTGGATTTGAATTTACAGTGCTTGTAGCTTTGGAACTGGCCCTCTACCTTCCTGAAAACCAAGTTTTACCTCATTATAGACGTCTCGCGCAGCACTCGTAACCAAAGCTACATTCCAGCAGATCGCCGGTGGCTCTGGAGATGAACAGCATTACACAAACACTTTGCTGCTGAATTTGACACTTGCCACTGACCTTTCCTATGCCATAATGTACATCCTCCCATGCCTACAGCTAGTTCAAAGTCTGCAGCATGACTTCTTAAGCAGTCAAGATGTACATTAATGATGCATATGCCAAGTCTGGGAGATGGTATAGAAAGGGTTATTGAACTTTTATTTTTCTTTGGACATTAAAGCACAAGTGATTCAAAGCCAGCTGCCATTGGCTGCTGGCTATTCTTATTTACCTTTTCAATTTTATTAAGAAACTGTCAGTTCTTCCTACAAATGATGCTACGCTAGTTGTTCCCTTGGATTTTTTTTTTACCTTTATTTTGTTCCTTGAGTCTAACGGGAGCATCACTTCCATTCCAAACGATACACTTCAAATAATATTTCTAAGAATTTTCTTGCATTTTTACATTAACGAAATGCATATTTATTTTTTTAAAGATGTGCCTAAAACTGACTGGTCTGGTACCAGCCCTTTTTAAGTTAGTTATGTTGCATGGTGGTGAATCCTGAATAGCCATTTATTCTTTACCTGCATTTGCCTTGCATATGGTGAAAACGATTCCGGTATATCTGCACTAATATCACATGGGGGGGGCTGTACTATAAATCGGTAGGTCACAAGATTTTAAAATTGTTCTAGTTCGGCTTGCTTAATACCTGATTACAGGTTTGATTTTAAAAAAGGAGGAAAGATGATTTGAAAATCCGGCCATGAATTATCGCACTTGTTGAACAAGGTACCTGCAGCAAAGTAATTGCCATCTTCATTTATTCTTCAACAGAAGATAATCGCTTAATACCGCGATTAAATCATATCATTCGTTGTTTTGATTTGTGCTACTGTTCTTGATAGTCTGAAACTAAGCAACGTTTTATATACGACCGAGTGTCATGTATGAGCTTTTTGTGCTCTGTCCACAAGTGTTTCAGCCAGTGCAGTTAATGCTACTGAACTAAGCCAGTGAAACAAAGCATGGCCAGTTCTTAAAAATGCTACTCTTTTACTCAGTTCTTCCAAGCATTGTGCCACTGTGACGGTCCTGGGACCGGTCGTTTGCACATCCGTGCAGCCACTTGGTGGCTGGTCTCCTGCAGCGTTCTGCTTATGCCAGGGTTAAATAATTTCTTCTAGTCCCAGCTATTCTTCCATTTGGGGGATGAGTTCTGAAGTGTTTTGGACCCTTAGCAACCAAGTTAGTGGCTCTTGGGTTTTTTATCTAAGCAATATTATGATATAAATAAGCTGTCTTGTTTGTGAGGAGCAAAATTTAAAAACTCGGGTGTTGTGATTGACAAATGTTGCGTTTAAGTTTGTGAACCTGTCTCGGGTATTGGACCTCACTGCAGTAAGGCTCCCCGGTCTCTGGGACGAAGTACTGTCACTTCTAACTCCTGCCGTCATGATAGGCACAGACGTGGAGCTGGAGGTTTGTTAATCGGCTGCTTTCCCAAAGGGCAGCCTGACTAAAATTTGCAGCAAACTTACTAGACCCTCTTCCTGGCTCAGCAGTGTGAGGTGTAATTTTAATACAGATAACTGCAACGATCCCAACCAAGTCACAAACTCTGTTATGTTTAATAGCTTTAGTGCAAGTGCAGCTCACGAGCAGTACTCAGGACGTGAGCTTTAGTGTCACCTTTGTGCAAAGTTGGTGCAATGGGTATCTTTTTAAATCTAGGACAGTTGTAAGAACAAAGTGAAAAGAGAACAAATGTCCACCTTGCCATTTTTTATTCCCCCCACAACCAAAAAAAGGCTTGAGAAACATCCCACTGTTTTAAATTTGCTGAGCGTCCCTAAGGCCAGTTGTGGACGTTCTTGTGCATTGAAGTATTAAATATATCTGCTTGTAAATGGGTTTGCCAATTGAAAAAAGCTTCACTGCATTGCACTCAGCGCTCCACAATCTGCTGCAGATTCCTAGCAACTCAGCCTGTATCCTTTTTTTGCCTGGGTATAATGAAGGTAAGTTCATTGGCACTTGAATTTGGGGAGGAAGGAGTCTTTTCTGTGTGCTGGTTTGCTTGTTCTTTTCCATAGCAGCACCGGTTAACTTTCCTCTTTAATATGCAACAGAAGAAAGATGCTCTGAGTGAAATGTGAATATTTGAAGGCTCAGCCCTGAAGCCTTTACTTAGACAGAATTTCCATCGAATGCAATGGAACTTGTACCTGGCAAATGCCCATAGGAGTGTAGATCCTTGCTTCAGTGCATAGGTGGGCAAGTTATGGGGTTTTTTATTATTCCCCACATTGCTGGGAGAATAAACAGCTTTGTTCTTCGTAGAGTTTTGAGCGATCTCCCTAGAAATATTTATTCCAAGCCTCTGCACAGGCACATCCCAAGTTCTTGAGCTGTGAAGCCCAAGATAATATGGGCAAAGTATGGCATCGTGGACTTGGTCATTCGCAGTTGGCACTAAAATTCCTCTAAGAAGTGGCAGGCAAGTCCTGCTTGCTACGGCAGAAATCTTGTTTCAAAGTCATAAGGACCAAACTGTTGTTTTTAATCCATAGTCTACAGCTGGCACAGTGGGTACCTGTGTCTGCGACTCTTCTGTGCAGAAGCAGTGCTGCTGGCAAAGGCAGTGACTTGTATATGTTTGTGTGTGCAGTGTTAGAGGACTTGGCTTTCTCATCCCCAAATTGGAAGGCTTGCAGTCCTGCTGGGTTCAGCTCATCCTTGTATATTTATCTTATTATATTTATCTTGTCATACAGACACTGCCACTGTGTGGCAAACTGTTCTCACTGCAACTTTATCAATGTAAAAACCAAAATGGGACGCAAGGTGAGTTTGGAGAGAGGTTTTACAGTGTACGTACCAAATTAAAGAAACAAAAGCTCTTTGGTTGGAAAAGAAGTGCTGGTTTCTACACCGGCACGTCGGGTTTAATTGTGTATGTAACCATGTAAATATGGTGCTGCTTTGACTCGGCACAGAAAATCCTCGTGGGAGAAGCGTGTACTTTTTTTTTTTTATGTAGGCAATACTGTGCTCTGGTTTTGTGTCCCAGTAATTTAATTTCAACTCTATTTGTAATTTGTCCAATCTTCCAAGGACATTTGTGACATTAAGATGCTGTGAAATAAAAATTGGTTTTTTTATACATACTTTGTAACCAACCAAATTCAAGGTGTGTAACGTATTGTCTCTCTTTAAATCTTCCTTGAAAGTACACTTCAGTTTTGGAGCCTTCACTTTGTCTCTTCTTGTGTATCAGGTATGCCAGAGGCAAGGATTTCTTAGAGTGGATCCTGTTGTTGGACCAGTTATGTAGCTGGGATAGTTAGACAAGCTTTCGAATGCAAGGCATTATTCATCAGGTCTCTAATCACAGGAACAGGTAGGAGGGAGAAAATCAATTTAGAAAGCCCAGTCATTGGGGTTTGTTTTTTTAATCCAGGTACTTAATCTGTTGCTGGCTCTTTGCCAATTCAAGGAGGGAGTTGCAAGTACAACCTAAAATCTTTAGAAAGACTGCACAAGCTGGGAGAGCTGACTGAATGCGAGAAACCCCCCGATGCGTTGATATATGTAGTCGTTCTGTTCTAGCAGGCCTAAGAGAATGGCACGGTTGTTACAGGCTCTGTAATCTCTTCAGCACTGAAACAATTTCATTTAGCAAGCAATCTATCAATAGTTGCTTGCCAATGCACCCAGACTTCTATTTTTCTTTTTCCTGCCCTGCAAAGCCAACCTGCTTCCTAAAATAATGTTAAAACTCTTTGAAGTAACTCCCGGTGTCTGGCAGCCTCAAGGGCTGCTTTTGTCTCCTCCATGTGACAACTTAATAAGCTAGATAAAAAGCATAACAATGTCCTTACACACATAATTTAGACAGCTAATTCTGTCCCACACTCTCTGAATCTGAGCCAGTAGCAGCTAATCCCCAATTGCTAAAATAGAAAACAGTCCACAAAGGTCCTCAGAGTGAAGGTTCAAACCAGATGCTTGTTTCAATGCTCATTTTTAATAGCAGGTTACATTAGGAAAGAAAGAGGGGGGGATGTTGCATTTGTCAAAATCTGAGTTTTTTCACCCCATGCTGCAGGCCTTTTTAGGCCCACTGCAAGTCCAGCAAAAAATAGATGCAATTTAGGGGTGGGGGTGAAGCAGCCAAGCAAGGAAGCCACTAACTGGGCTTGTGTGAGACTAGCATTAAATCTTGGACACATTCTCTTGTTCTTTTGTCATGTTCATGGAGTAAATGACAATAAGAGTCAAAACTGTTGTTTTCCCCTGCAAAGATTTTTGCTTTTAAGATGAGTTGCAAAAGGCTGTGTTATGAAGACCCAGAGCAAGCCCGAGAGCAACTACTTTCATCCAAGTGTTGCTTATTTATGGAGTGAAAGATGGGTGTGAAAACTTGGATAAGAACTAAAGCACTCTGCTGGGAATCTGGGCATTATTCTTCTCCTGCAAGGGGAGAGCTGGGAGACCCTCATGTCACCTGTACCAATATGTAGGATCAGTGCTGTCATGCACAGTGCTGCCTCAAAAGCATTTTTATGAGCATGGGTAAAATATCCCTGATCTTATAGATGCAGAAATGAGATGCAGAGCAGTTAAGTGGCTTGCCCAGAATCTCATCCTGTCACTGCCCAAGTCATGGGAGAGCTGCAACTAGAATCCCAGGACAGGATACCAGGCTCCCAACCTGTAGACGACGCACGAAGATGGTTTGCCTGACACTTGCATGAACTCTTTATTTTTTCACTTAAACCTCTGCATCAAAGTCACGGTGCGTTTAGTTTGAAAGTGTGTACCAAGGCCAGAGCCAGGCCTTGTAGGTACAGGTCTGTATGTGAAGGGAAAAGAAAGAGCAACCATTTGCTAACAGTGATTCTCAAGCAGGGTGTCTGGTGGAGATCCTTTTCAGGTGGTATGGGGTGCCACATGATGAGGTGGCAAACATGATACTCAAGATAAACCCAGAGATTGCAAATAGTACTCCATGCTGTTAAAAGCAGGCTGACCTGTTATGATCTTTCTGAGCTCCTTGCAACTGTTAGTGAAAACTAAGAGCTGGCGTTGTCAAAGGGGGCCTTGACCCTAGGCTTGAGAACCAGTGTATTGACCTGACCCATGGAGGAGCTGAGCTGTGACAACTTCCACTGCTCTTGGAGAGGCTTGAAACCCATCTCCTACATTGGAGAGTGTGGGGACAGGAAAGCTGAAGCTGCTTGTATTGCAAGGTGGTAAATATTTCAGACTAGAGGCAAGTAGCCCAGAGAGGAGAAGACTGAAGGGGAGATTTGATAGCAGCCTTCAGCTCCCTGCAGGGCGGTTGCACAGAGGATGGAGCTGGACTGCTCTCAGTGGGGGCAGATGATAGAAGGAGCAATGGGCTCAAGTTGCAGCAAGGAAAGTTGAGGTTGGATATTAGGAAGAATTTTATTACTAAGAGGTAGTGAAGCACTGGAAAAGGTTACCTAGAGAGGTTGTGGTCTCTCCATCCTTGGAGGTTTTCAAGACCCGGGTAGACCAAGCCTTGGCTGGGATGATGTAGCTGGGGCTGGTCCTGCTTTGAGCAGAGGGTTGGACTAGATGTGACCTCCTAAGGTCCCTTCAACCCTCATTTTCTATGTAATGGCAGGTCTAAGGTTATAGCTGGAAAAGGCTGCAGGTAGGATGAAGCATCCCCTTTCTCATCGGTTTTGTACGGAAGAATGTGCTTCAAGAAAGGACATTGTTTGCTGAAATGGAGAAGCCAGAAGTCCAGACCCAAAGGCTTCCAGTTTGCGCGGTATGAATGCATGCGAAGACGAGCAGCCCTGAGACCACTATGAACCTGGCGCTGGGGGCTACCCCGGAGGTAAGCGAGGATGTCACAGATACGGGAAGCTGAAGCATTAGGAGCTAATGAGCAGAGGAGTGAGGGGCACAGCCTCTGAATGGGAACTTCCTAGACCTTAAATGTTGGAGGAAGCAAGTGGGAGAGAAACAGTGAGGAAAAAACCCTGGTTGCACCCAGTCCACTCCCCTATCAGCATCCGCTCTCTCGGGAGTTGTGTGTCCAGCTGGCTCCCCTGCAGCTCGAGCTATACATCCGCGGCAGGCGAACGCCGCATCACGACCTCCTCCGTATTCCCATCGTGCCGGACCGAGGGCTGGTGTAGGGCTCTCTGCACCAGGCTGGCTTTCATCAGGTGAAGTAAAAAGCTTTATCTAAGTCGCCCAACCTACAGCTCCAGGCGGGAGGAGGACAAAAGGAGAGTCACACGACCAAAAGTCCGGCTAGAAAAATAACACCCTGGTTCAAAATGATGTGCCCTTCCCCTATTTTCTATCATGGGTGGTTATCTCGGGTCAAAGAACCAGCCTGTGCATCCTTGGGGACCATCTCACCGCCCCCCGCGCTGATAGACGGGGCGACGGCCGGACCCGGACCCAGCGCCCGATGAGGCTGTGCCGAGGCCCTCTGCTACGTCCAGTCTAAGAGGCCCTGTCCAATAACAATGATCCACGGAAACAGATTTTCATGAAATTTTAAGATGCATCATCATTATTTCTGCACAGATGTATAAACTCAGTATGGACAATAACTGTGGATAGGTCTATTTTGGTCACATTAGAAGAAAAAAGAACAAAAACTCAACGTTTTCATTATTTAGAGGCCCCATCTGGTAAAAATAATCCACGGAAATGGATTTTCATGAAATTATAAGATGCATCATCATTATTTCTGCACAGATGTATAAACTCAGTATGGACAATAACTGTGGATAGGTCTATTTTGGTCACATTAGAATAAAAAAAAAATGGATGTTTTCATCATTTAGGCACCCCAGTCTAAGAGGCCCCATCCGATAAAAAATAATCCACGGAAATGGATTTTCATGAAATTTTACGACGAATTCTCCTTATTTCTGCACAGATTTATAAACTCAGTGGGAATAATAACTGGATAGGTCTATTTTGGTCATATTAGAAGAGGAAAATTATTTTAAAATGGACATTTACAAAGTGCAGCTTCAAGTATGTGAAGCCTAAATGCAGCAGTGTGTTTCCCATCCACGTTCTAACCAGGCTCAACCCTGCTTAGCTTCCTCAGGCCAGCGCGCGCAGCCGCAGCAAAAGAGGGAGGATGCGGCCCTCCCCTTCCGCTGACGTTAGCGCGCTGCCCCGGAAGCGCTCGCAGGCCCTCTAGGATCGCTTCCGGGGGGCGCCTGCCTCCTTCCTTCCTTTTCCGGCGCGGCGCGTGCGAGGTAGGTGGCGGCGCGGTGGGGTCGGGGCCTGAGGGGAGCGGGCTGAGGGCCGGGGCCGCTGTGACGTGCTGTGCCGCCCAGGTGCGTGCGTGCGTGTGTGTGGGTCGGTGCAGCGGAGCCGGGCGCGATGCAGAACGACGCGGGCGAGTTCGTGGATCTCTATGTGCCGCGCAAGTGGTGAGTGAGTGAGCCCTGCCCCCCCCATCCTCCCACCGCCGCCTCCCGCCGCGGCGGAGGCCCAAGAGCGAGCGCGGCCGCGCGTCTCAATGAAACGCCTCTTGCTTCCCCTCCCCCCCAGCTCCGCCAGCAACCGCATCATCGGCGCGAAGGACCACGCGTCCATCCAGATGAACATCTCTGAGGTGAGGTCGGCATCTCGCTGGGGAGCCTTGTGCTCGCGAGCCCTCGGCTTGGAGCCCCTGGCTCGGGAAGTCGTCATAGGCCTGCGAACGCGTCCTAGAAACGCAGGGCCACGAGAGGGGATCGGGTCCAGGCAGAGACGGGGGAGCGTTATGTAGATGGGGAAGCTATGCATATATATGTGGGTATATATACCTGTGTGTTTGTGTGTACAGGCAGTCCTCGTACTTACGACACGACTGGTTCCTGAAAACGGCATCTTAAGTCAAAACATCGTAACTCGGAACCAATTTTCTTATAAAAAAACCATGTTATAATGGGGGATTGGTTCCTGAACCCAAGGCGTGATACCCTGTTTTCACTAAAAATACCCCAGAACTTTGTACTCAATCAATTATAGATGAGTCATATAGCTACATTAATGTATGTAAATTGTAAATAGCAATCGCATGGACTTGGAAGGACGTCTTTGAGGTGACTTTGCTGGACTTTTTTTGAAGGGCTCTTACCGGGAGTCCTGGCTGCAGGGTTTTCTGGAGTCTCATCTGCTTTCTTAAAGAAAGTGTCCAAGGAAGTTTGGACGGACGCTCTCCAAGGAGATGGGCGATG